AATAGAATCTGTCAAATGTATCTTGAAATTAAGTACCATTATTAGTGCACCCTATATCATTTCATAATGGGAGGAGAGGGGAGGGGTTACTCCCTCAGGGCACACAGCACAGGATCGAAGGGCCTGGCATGGCTGTAATCGAGCTAAGAGAGCTTTCAGTAACATCACCAAAATGAGAGCGCAACTCGATTATCTAATTGGTCTTGACATTTTTGTTGCGATTTTTTTTAAGGAAAACTTATACCTGTTTTTTTTAAAGTTAGAGGCAGAAAAACAGCGTATGGATGCAGCAATGCGGCAGATAACGGCCGAACGTCAGGCACTGGATAAGTCCTTAACAACGATGGAAAAGGAGAATATGGAATTGTACAGGAACTGCACCTTACTTCAGAACCAGGTTATTTATCATTTTTTCAGGACCTCTGTATCAGTTTTTGTGAATTAAGGATTGTGCTGTGTAAAGCTTTCCAGTTTGTTTGCTATTAGCGAAAAAAATCATTGGGATGCGCACCGGGCGGGCCTGTGCGATCGTGCGTTTTTGAAGTGTTTCGCGCTGTTGCAAGATCGCTTGGAGTCCAGGTAGCTAGAATTTATGGCATATTAGTCCTCGAAGTTCAAGGAATTAATTGTGCAATTACGTGGCACTTAGACAGGGAGCATTCCATTAAAATTTCAACCTTGCATCTTCCTTCGTTCCCAAGTTGGCAATTTTCCCGCCAAAAATTTTCAGAGGGCCGTGCGTGAAAATTACACGCATCTGAGAATGAACTTGAAATTTTTGAGTTGTGCTTGGTCCAGGAACATCAGCTTAAGATTCCAGCATCCCAGCTTTCCTTGTCTCCGAGTTAGCGATTTTCCCGCCAAAGGATTTCATGGGGCCGTGAGTGAGAACCACACACATCTGGGAGATGAATTTAGAATCTTTGAGTTCTATGTGGACGGAGAACATAACCTCAAAATTTCACCTTTCTTGCTTTTCTGGTTACGAGTCAGCGATTTTTTCGCCAAAACTTTCACGTGCTCGTGTGCTGAGCTCAGACTTACGTAAAGGTTGATGCCACGATCCTGGGGTGGCACTCGGCCGTGAAACTCATTGGTGAAATTTTGGCGCCGGGGCTTGCTTAGGTGCCAAGTTGAAATACCCGGAGAAACTTAAACACACAAACCGACACACACGCACATGCCGACACACATAAACCGACACACACACACACACACCGACACGCACCGACACACACACCGACACACACACACCGACACACACACACCGACACACACACACCGACACACACACACACACCGACACACACACACCGACACACACACACACCGACACACACACACCGACACACACAC